AAACTAGACATTGAAACAGTTAACGGTCCTTGCAAACGTGAATAGACGATTTCTATAAATTAGACCAGAACCAGTTTTTTTTGAGACTCGATAGTATGGGTAGTGCACAAGATATAAGTCTTGTGTAATTTTTGAGTGGGTCAGTGGACTGTATTGAGTCAATGCCACTGCTGAAATTTCAGAATTTGCCAAACCAGCACTGAAATGTTTATACTTCACGTTTGCATTTATCACTTTTATGCGAACCTGTTGGACGTACGTACCGTTGATTGGCAGGTGCTTCATGTGCTATTTTTAAAGTGTAATTTGATTTTCAGAATTTTTCACGGTGAATTCGTTTGAACAGTTCTGTATAAATTATTGCAACGAGAAATTGCAAAATTTTTTCAACGATCGAATACTGAAGCACGAACAGCAGCTGTATGCCAACGAAGGCCTCAATGTCCCCCGCATCCAGTACAGTGACAACGAGGACTGCATCGGTGAGTTCCCTTTCCGTTTTGTATTTATCGTTATGTTTTGCAAAATATACTGTAAAAGAGTTGACTCCCGTCAGCTGCGATGAAGAATGAACTTAAGCTTGACAAGTACTACTGCATCAACTTACTGGTTTTCGATTCGTCTTTATGTTTTTTGCAGGTAGTGCATGGACTAATTATGGCTACATTTTTTTCGTATTCGAACAACTAGCTCTGTTAAACAGATACGTTAAGCGAGTTAAAAATGCAATCCAAATTAATTCTGCGGTTGCACTACATCCTACACGTTCAACTCGCTCCCGCATTAATTTTCGAAAATCCTAAAAGCTTTCTAAATTGGAATTGGCGAATCTGCTTCCAAAAAAAAAAACGGCCAGTTCACTAAGCATGAGTAAGTGAACAGGCGGTCGAATGGACGATCGAATGAACGAACGAACAGAGGCCGATTGGTGAACAGAGTTATCGAGTGAAATGGACTTTGTACGCAGCAACCAACTTAAGTGAAAACCCAATAACAATAATGTTATTTGTAAATTTTTATGATTTCGGAAATCAGACAAGACAGAAAGTAGAAGCTTCAAATGGATGTTCTTTGTCCATGTATGAGCAAAAGACTCAAAATCAGCGGTCTTGCACGGACATATGAGAATGCGTAAACAATAAATTTTGTTGTTGCTAAGCCTACACAGTTTAGAGCCCTTGGGATTCGAGGTGTGGTTTAGAATTTGCGAGGTATGTGATACTGTGCATTCGTACTGACACGGCAAGCTGGCTAAGTTGGCATGCTGAAACACATTTTATTGCTGTATCGCTAAGAATTCAAAGGTTGAGGTGTTTTCCTGATGGAGAATTGGGAATACCGCACCGGTTTTTGGAATTGCACAGCTCGCATGCACTTTTTCGATTATGAGTGCTCCCATAATAATACTGTTAACAGTATAATAAACACAAGATGTAATAATTGGGGCTTATTTCTGATCATTGTAGAGGGGGTAGCTATTTGTACCATATTTCCCAGGGAAAAGCAGTCTCATATTTTTCTTCTTACTCTTTCCATTTTAACTGTGCTGGCGCCTCTAATTCAGAAAAAATGCATAATGGAACTGATATTGGCTGTCAGCCACGGATAAATTTGTGCTCCGAATTAACACCCGAAAAAGCTCGAACTGCTCCTTATGCCTGCATCAGTTAACGTAAAAATTTGGTGTACTTTTCCCATAGCCACTAATAAAATGTCTTGTAAATCTGCAGATTTATTTGAAAGGAAAGTGGAAGGTTTACTAGATCTTCTGGATGAGGAAGCACGCCTACCGAAGCCTTCTCCGCAACACTTCACTGCTTCCGCACACCAACAGCTCAAAAACCATTTTCGCTTAACAGTAAGTAGAATTTCGATTTGGACAAATTACAGTGACTTCTGTGAAGGTTGTGGTATAGTGGGGAGAGCCGGTGGCCTCAATTTTCTGGTAAAAATCGAGCTCGATTAGCTGTTTTAGCTGACCGTCAAAAAATATCTCATTTTCTTGCATTTTTTGTTAAACAATATTTTGAAATTTTATGCATTATCAACAAAATCCACTAGGTGCTTTTGGCGGGTTTCTTTTTTTTTACACCGCCTGCTCTTTTGCCTCTTCCTTCCCTTTCTTCTTCGATTGAAAAGCATACAATTTCTAACCTAGTTTGCGCTGGCTGCAATAAGTTTAAACCACATAAAGACGGTCACGCAATGCAAAGGCTAATAAATGGCAAATCCAGGCTGGAACGCCCCAGGCTCTCCGGTGCGATCATGCGTTTTTGCACTAAACTCGCAGATCGCTATTAGCAGGAATGATCCCTGCGCTGTAACCTAACTCTTGGGCTCATATTGGCCGTGCTTTGATCCCTTCCGGCGTGTAGGAGGAAGGGCGTCAGTTGGGATTGAAAGTAGTGCATTATAGAGCCGCACAGACATCCTGGTGCATGATTACCGGTTTTTATGCGTTTTTGCCGTGCAGCGCTAGAGCGCTGCAACAGGCAGCAAAAACGCATATTGCAATGACCCTGTCAGTGTGTGTTTGTGTGTGTTTGTGAGTGTGTGTTCGTCTGTCCGGGTATTTCAACTCGCTAACCGCGCAAGCTTTGAAACTGAAACTTTGCCAGTATTCGTCTGTCCGGGTATTTCAACTCGCCAACCGCGCAAGCTTTGAAGCTGAAATTTTGCCAGTGTGTCAGGTACCACCCCAGGACCGCAGTTTCAACCCTCACGCACGTTTGGGCCCCGCGTACGAGCACGTGATAGTTTTGGCGCGAAAATTGTTAACTCGGGAACGAGAAAAGTTAGAAAGCTGAAACCTTGGGAGAATGTTCCCTGCCCATGTATGACAAAAAGATTTCAAATTCAGCTGCCCAGAAGTGCTCGAGTCTTACGTACGGGCACATGAAAATTTTGGCGGGGAAATTCATAACTGGAGAATGAGAAAAGCTAGAAAGTTGAAACTTTGGAGGAATATTCCATACTCATACACGACCAAAAGTTTTCAAACTCAGCTCCTTAGGAGCGTCTGGGGCTCACGCACGGGCAAGTGAAAATTTTGGCGCGAAAATCAATAACCCGAGAACGGGAAAAGCTAGAAAGCTGAAACTTTAAGGGAACGTTCCCTACTCATGTACGAGCAAAATCAGAGGTTTAGAAACACCCGTT